GTATTTTTTACGGTTGTGATACAGAGCTCTACGTGTAGAGCTCTACACAGCTGGCAGGGGGTGAAACAAAAAAAAAAAAAAAAAAAAAAAAAAAAAAAAAAAAAAAAAAAAAAGGAAGGAAAAAGACAAATCATAATGGGAAAAAAGACAAATTAGACATCTTCTAGAGCTCTTAATTTAGAGGTCCAAAATATTTTTCTATTTTTTATACACTTTTTTACCCATTTATTGAGAGTAATAACAGCTCTATGCAGTTTTGTTAGTATATTTTTTTTTAAATATCACAATCATGTCATTTTAGTTTAGTTTTCTCCATTTTTCTTTCTTTTAAACAAAGATAAAATATGAGCAATGATAAATAAATAGAGAAATTAAACCCAAAAAAATATAAAAAGTAATGTGACAAATTTATATTTATTTATTTCAAACAAAAAGACGTAATAAAATGTCTTATTATTTAAAAAATATGACTGCCATTCCAATGAGAATTTGTACAAAAAATTTATATTTACAAATTATTTTTAATAACAATTTTGATAAACATATAAAAGTGCAATTATTTGTAATATATATATATATATATATATATAAATAATATGTATACAAATATTTTGAAATATCTAACTTTTTAATTTTAATTTTGTTTCATTGACAATTAATTTGATTGCCATTAACATAATTTAAATTTTATTTTTATTTTTTATAAAATTCAACATATCCCCAAATAATTGACTATTTCCGAGGTGGGTAAAAGGGTATGGTTGATGGGTATTATCCATGGTGCAATAGGGGATGTGACACTTGGCAGAGATCTTTTGGACCTCAAAAAAGTATGGACCAATCATGTTGTTGCAACATCTGATCCAGTAGCCGATCAGTGTTTCGACGAAATTAAGGTAGCCAAAAAGGTCAGAAGGAAGAAAAAGATATTGATGCTTTTTCATATTAAATCACTTCATGTCACATTAAAAACTTGAGTGATTGAGTGAGTCTTCTGACTCAACAATTCCGAAATTTTCATTTCACTTCACTTTGTATTCTCCTTACTTGTTGGGTTTGATCAAACTCACCACAAGTTGAGAGCTAGTTGATTGAACTGATTTGTCCAAATTTTTTTGGGATTAATTTAAAGAAAAGATTTAAAATACATTCAAATGTGAAAATATTTAGAGATATTATGAAAAGTGTACTGAGATTATAAATATATTTTAAAATTTTGTGTTTCTTGTTTACAATCTTAAAATTACCATTAGCAAGATCCTTAATTTAGACTTTGTTTAGCAATTGAGATTTTTAATCCAAAAATTATTATAAATTGTTGTATCACTTTTTTTTACTTTTTATATATTTTTTTTTTTAAAAATTTAAATAATGAATTAAAATAATCAATTCTCAAACAGAACTTAAACTAAACATTAGCTATATACGATTAGATTTGGACACCATAAACTTTTGGGCAAGTTCAAGTTATGTTGGAAAAGAGCTGTCACTATAAAGAGAATCTCTAGTTTAAATACATTCAAATGTGAAACTATTTAGAGATATTATGAAAAGTGTATTGGGATTATAAATATATTTTAAAATTTTGCGTTTCTTGTTTACAATCTTAAAATTACCATTAGCAAGATCCTTAATTTAGACTTTGTTTGGCAATTGAGATTTTTAATCCAAAAATTATTATAAATTGTTGTATCACTTTTTTTACTTTTTGTATATTTTTTTCTAAAAATTTAAACAATTAATTAAAATAATTAATTCTCAAACAGAACTTAAACTAAACATTAGCTATATAGGATTAGATTTGGACACCATAAACTTTTGGGCAAGTTCAAGTTATGTTGGAAAAGAGCTGTCACTATAAAGAGAATCTCTAGTTTAATTACTAATTTAATGGTTATTAAAATTAACATATTGGTTTTTTTATTTAAAGATAACTACTGATAACACTTTAACAAGTGTCTCTCTCCACTCATCATATATATATTTTTAAAAGTAATGTTTTCCTTTGCTTAGGTATTACATTTTAAAGGTTTACTGTTTTTTAGAAAAAGTCACATCAATATGTTTTTTTCTTTTACCTATAAAGTTCTACATAAATTTAATTTTAATTATAATAATCAATTTTATATGGATTCTATTTAATAAATACTTATTTTTCATCTTATATTTAGTTTTATCGTTATCAAATTTCTTCTATATTGTAGATACTTTAATTTAATTATTATGATATTTGAAAAAAAAATTTATATCGACATACAAATAAATAAAATAAAATATAGTTAATTATGTACATTGCACGGATCAAATTAATTTTTTTATTTTTTATCTATCTTATTGAAGTCTGAATATTAATTTATATTTAATTTTTTATTTAACATGAAATTATTTATTACAAATTATTTATATTTAATTCAAATTTTATATACCTATATATAATATATATGAATAATTCAAAAAGAATATTAAAGAAAAAAATACTCTACATAATTAATTAATTTATATCCTTTTTAATCCAATCACAATATATTTATATTTAATCTTTTAAATAAATTTTGTGTAATTCTATTTATATATATTTTTATTTTCTAAATAAAAATAAGTAATTAGAATCACTTTTAATTTTATATTACTAAATTCTCTTTTTAATTTAACTATTATTTTTAATATCAAAATGAGTGTTTATTTTACTATCTTATAATTTAAAATATATCATATAAAATCATTATATGATAACTATACTTTTATAGCACAATAAATATACAATGATCAAAATAAGCAAATAATTATTTTATATAAGTATTCAACTAATACTTTTATAGAATGATAAAGTTAATATTATTAAAGTAAATAATTTAAATTTTATTTTAAATTAAAATTATTCTTTTGTAACACATATTATAATATAAAATATCATTACATTAATTAAAATTAATTTCATTATGATTTTATGTCAGACATCATATTTTTAGAAGTGATTTACATATACATGTAGTGTCCAATTTGATATTGATTGATTAAAATAATAGAACTCAATTTTTTTGTTAAGTTTTTAGTAGATAAATTGATAAATGCCAAATAATAAATAGTGTGAAATATTATTTTAAAAAATAATGATTTATCGAAAATGATTGCATATATATAAGGCACCTATTAATGTTTCTTGAATAATTTTTAAATAAAAATTATGAATCTATAATAGTACTAATAATAGCTTTGTTAGAAAAGATATGCAAAAATAATTTAGCTAGAATTATTTTTTTATTTTTATTTTTATTTTTTTTTTGCAGTTGTTATGATGTATCACATAATTAATCAGAATCCCTTTGAGAACTGAATTTACTGTATTTTGTGTCTTATCCCCTTTGAAGACACTTTTTATGATTTCAATTTGTAATTTTTTATATATCAATCTTAGTGATATAAGCATAAATCCTACCTTAAACACTTTTTTCATGTAATAAAATACTTAAATATTTCATATAAAAGTATTATACTAGATCATAATAAAATATTACTTGAAATATGATTAAATACTTGATACACCACTTTAGATATAACCAGAAATATAAAAAATTAGTAAAGATCTTTTAAATTAATAACCAAAATAATACACTTTGAGTTATAACCAAGTCATAATTTGTATATTATAGAATTCTTCGTTGTTTTTATTTATTTATTTTTATACAAATTCAATTCATGATTTTTGATAAATTTGATTAACACACATGATGATTTGATTTCAAGTTGAGAATACATCTTCTTCTTTTTTTAAATATTTTTTGAAAGAAATTATTTTGCTGAGCCTATTTTACATATCAACTATTACCAAATCTGTTTATATTTGACTTTTAATTGTTAAAATTTTCTATACATAAAGTATTAAGACACAAAACTAATTTTTTATTTTGAAAACAAATTCTTGTGCATCGCATGAATCACCTATTAGTTATTATTAATAGTAGTATTATTATTATGATTATGGGTATACGGATTTGAGGGTAAATTCTTATTGGAATTAGTACATTTGAGATAAAAACTAATTTAAACATTGCATCATAATATCCTTCTACTTGTTTTGTTTGTCAAGGCATTGTGTACAAATTCATTATTTATCTATTTTTACATTTTTGTCCTCCTTGGTTTCGTTCAGTTTGGCTAGTAATTGTGGTGACTAGTTTGGGTGGAGGTAGTAGGGCCTTGAGGTGTTGGAAGGGGGATTTTGGTGGCCTTGGTTGGTTGATGATGGTGGTAGTGGCAAGGGTTGTTAGAGGGGAGATAGTGGTTGCAATAGTTGGAGAAGGAAAAAATATAAACTAATCATTTTCATTATAAAAAAATGCTATTAATGATTGAATCACTTAAAGATAAATTCACAATTCAAGTGTAAAACCAAGAGAATTGAAACTATATGGACCGAATTGATCCAAATCTCAAAATACAATAATAACTCGTTTAATTTGCCCAAATATAAAAATGTATAAAGCTCCAAGATTTTTTCTTTTTACTTGATTAATTTGAACATTTTAGCCATGTAGGATTGATACAGACCAAAAAAGAGACATAGGAAGTTTGATCATTGTCATAATATTGTTTCCATTGGTTCAACAAAATAAAGAAACAGAATAGGAAAAAGAGAAATTAGAACATTTTTTTATTCTTTCATCTTTTTTTTTTTTTGGGGTGTGTGTGTATTTGTGGGGTGGGGTCTTAGCCTTTCTGATATGGTTGAAACTAGAAATCCCATTGATACAGTTAATTGTGTATGTTTGAAGCATGGTTTGAAACAATAGTCTTGGGTAATCAATATTGATGATACGGTCAAATATTCATTCGTATATTAGTCGATATTTAGAACCTTGGTTTGAACATGCTATGGATGTTTCTCCAATTTATAACACTTCCTTCAATTAATACTATGTTTATAACACCTGTCTCGGTGTACTTCACTATCTTGTATTTTTAAGGAAAATTTTCTTTGCTGGTCAAAAAAATGTTTACAGTGTCAAGGGTACAATTGAAAGGTACAAGAAGGCATGCTCAGACTCGTCCAATACTGGATCGGTTTCTGAACTAAATGCTCAGGTAAAATTTAAAAAATAATCATTTCTTTTGATGATATATAATGATTATTTGCTATATAGTTCAATGGATACATGTAGAGTAATGTTCTCTGCTTTTCCTGATAAATGGGTATATATAGATGTATTATCTTGAATTCTCATCAATAAAGGTTTTTTGTAGATAAAAAAAAAAAAGATTTTTATCTTCCTATAATTTGTTGAGTATAGAGTATGCTCATTGTTCAGCTTCAATAAAATTTTTGTTTTTATTTTTATTTATTTATTTATTTATTCTTCAAACAACAGCAAGATATCATTAGATAACCAACAATCATTTTATTTATCATACTTTATTTTAGATTTTCAAATTTTCATACGAACTTGCTTTTATCTAGGGAACGCAATCAGTGGCAAACGAGTATCTACATGGTTACTTCTAACAAAAAATGACTTTGGGATAATATTTTAGACAAATTATACTGATAGTTCTCATATTTTGCTGCTTATGTCATTTTGGTACATATAGTTTCAATCTGCTCAATTTTCTTTATTTATTTTAGATTTTGCGTCAATTTAAGACCTCGTTTGGAAATAGGTTTTTTTAGTAACTTTTTAGTTAAAATATGAGATAAAAAAAACTAGTATATTTGGAATGACTTTTTAATTTTTTACGAAAAGATGTGAAAAAAATAGAGATAAAAGAAATTTTTTGAATTTTTGGTATATGTTATAGGCTTTTTGATTTTTTTAGTAACTTTTTAATTTTTAGGCTAAAACAGTTACATGCCAAACAGGGTCTGCCAAATTGAAAACGCTGTTAGGATTTTTTGACAAAAAATTATTATTGAGTTAGTTAAGGTTAAATCATTAAATTAATCAAGTTTATAATTTTGTCACTAAATGTATGATAAGTTAAATTTTGCATAAGAGGTATTGGCTGAGCAGCATGTGGGAAGACTTGGGATGTGGTTGGTTTTTCACTAACTTAAGACTTGTACTAATAAATGATTGGACATTCTTCATGATGTCAATCTAATTGGGATCGTATAGTTTTGTTTTGATACTTTTTCACTTTCTCTATTTTTATTGATGTAATGCCATATGTATGTATGTTATTTTTCATCAACAAAGTTTTTTATTTTTTTATTTTTTTTCGCAATTTAAAAAATAGAAGTATGACATATGAAACTCATGTGCGCATTTGCTATTAAAGAATGTTAATGTTGGAATCAATTGAACTAATTTAAGACAAAAAAAAAATTTATGGTCAAAATTAAGCCAATAAAAATTGCAAAAATTAAAATGATATAATGATCAAAGTACAAAGACTAACTGTGTCCTAATATGTTTTACGTGGACTTCAGGAAGTGATGCATTTGTTTCTTCATAAAGATATATATATATATATATATATATATTTTTGATCGGCCAATTTGTTTTTATTAATGAACAAAAAAATCATTACATCAAGAAAGAAAAAGAGATGAGTGCAAAGAGTATCATAGCAAGACATACCAATCCCAACTAGGTGGGTGTAAAGATGTATCAAAATATAATTGAATCAATAAGTTAAGGGCCAATTTATAGTAATACTTCATCTATTTTTTTCTTTTGCGAAAGATAGCATTAGTATGTTATTATAGTTCTATTACAACTGAAAGGTTCGTTATTGCACTATCAACTCAAATTCTATTGGGCAATTTGATTTTTATACTTTCCATTATAATAATTTTACCTTTTAATTTGATATTTCATGTCTAATTGATCCAATTTATGGGAAATGGTCATATCTGTCTAACATGACCATTCTACACGAGCAAAATAGGAAAATGAATAAAAAATAATTACACGGTCCTTGTAATTTTTTTTTTTTTGTCAAATTGGTTCTTGTATGTATGGGTATATTCCCTTAGTTTTATTTTTTACACTTCGAAAGTACATAGATATTTGTAATTTCTATTGTAATTGTTAATTAGTTCAACTTCATTACAAATCTAACAGTAATTTTTCGACTAAAAACTACCTCAGTTCTATCAGCAAGAAGCCGCAAAATTACGTGGGCAAATTTCAAATTTGCAGAATTCACACAGGTGATTCCCTTGGGTGCATAGCAAATTTGTTTTTATGCAACTTTGCTTCCTTCAATTTCACTTAGTTAGTGATTGACATATATTTCCAGGCACATGTTGGGTGAGTCTCTGAGCTCTATGTCTATTAGGGATCTCAAGAACCTCGAGAGTCGTCTAGAGAGAGGCATTAGTAGGATTCGATCCAAAAAGGTACCGGTAGTAACCAAATAAATGTGTCATGTATTCATACATATGCAAATATTATTCTTTCCGGACTAGATCATTGATTCTCTCTAACATTTGATTTTCGTGTTTTTTGCCTTCAATTTCCAGAATGAGCTCTTATTTGCAGAAATCGAACTTATGCAAAAAAGGGTAACTATTTTTCTCTTGCATTAAATTTTTTTTTTTGGGGGGGGGGGGGGGGGGGGCGTCAAGATTTTTACTTCCCTTCATATGTGGGATCCCTAGAAATGGTGTGCATTGTTTACATTGTTCATTCTATATCTATATGACTCTGATCTAGAGACTAGAACTAAATTGGTTCAAAACATTGTTAATTTTATTTGTAAAACTAGGAATTTTAATTTATTTAACATCATATAATTATCAGCCGAAAATTTTCAGTAACGTGCCCTATGTTTTTATTAAACTATGGCCACTAGAAATTTTATTAAAATAACAAAAACATTATTTAATCATTGTGATATACATATTATTCTCGTCAAATGTAATCTTATTTATAATTAAAAACAATTTCAACATTATTTTCTTTACACTGTTTTGAAATTATAGATTTGAGTAGAGATTTAAAAAAATAAATAAAATATAATTATATGTTATTCATCTTTTCTTTTTTCTTTTTTAAATTTCTATTTAAATTTATGATCCAAACATAACCTTAATATTTACCAATCGAATTATGATTTCTTCTCTTTTTGCTATTGACTTCCTGGCTCCAACCCTTTTTTTTTTTTTTTTTTTTTTTTTTTTTTTTTTTTTTTTTTTGTTTTTTTTTTTTAACGCGAGTTTAAGTGTTTAGTTAGGAGATTTAGAGAGAAATTCAGGAAAAAAAAAAAATGAAAAAAGTGTGTAAAATTAGAGAAAATATAAATATAATTTATTTATATTTTACCTATTTTTTTTCTTTTTTTCTTTCCAAAACTCTTCCTACATATCCTAACCAAATACAGCATACGTTTCCCAAGAAAATCACATATGGTACTAATGCCGTCATTTTCATTACTTGGGAGATGAAATACCCTCTCCCACCTAAGTATAATTAGGTGAAGAATTGTGGCAGTCATTAAAGTCCTTGAGATGTTTGTAAAACTTAGTTTTGATAATTGATAGAAGGATAACTTAAAGGGAATTTTTTTTTAAATTCCTGATATTAAAATTTTGTAAGATAAATGACATATAATACTTTCATAATAGTTAAGGTTCCTCAACATTTTCATATTTTTTCAGAAAAATTTTGTCCGGTTCAGAGAAATTTGACCACGACTCAGAGAAATTTTAATTTTTATAGAGGAATTGCAAAATTTAGTGCGGACAACTAAGTTAAATGCTAAGTTAAATCCCATTATAAATGCTCCTCTTAATCCACATAAACCATAAAAAAGGTACTGCAATTCGAAGGTGAAAAATTTAGATTTAGTGTGGAAAACTCTATTGGAAAATTTAAACGTGTCTCAATTATCGTGATTATCAATATAGGCAATTCAATTAAAAATTAAGCAATCATGATCAACGTAAATAAGAGAGAGTAAGAGAAAATCAATCCACGACATGAAATATTTTTTTACATGGAAAATCATAATTGGAATCCACACCAACTTGTGATAAAAACCACGGGTCCACGGCCAGATGAATAATTCACTATGCAAGAAAAGTAGTATAAGAGATATCTTACAAAGGCCAATTCAGGCACACAAGTCAACTCACCAGCACACTATTTTGCTCAATGTACAAGTACCTCCGCGATCTTCACTGGATATCCACTTTGTTGAATCCACATGAGGGACAACTTTGGAATCCACACCAAAGCTTACACAATAGAATCTTGGATCACACGAGAAGGTTCACTTTTGAAAAATGTGAAGAACTTGTTACAAAAACTTGATGATTAGCTTTGAGGCTCTTGGATGCTAATGTATCATCAAGTAAATAAGAGTACAATCAACCCTGACTACCAGTTCACTCTCAAAGAATAAATCTCTCTTGCAAAAATGATCTCTCTCAAAATGTATTTTCTCACAAAAGAAACTCTCTGAAGGTTAGAGGAGAGATGGAGAGAATACTTAGAAAAATAAGTGTATGAGATACTCAACAAAACACCCGTGGGGCTTTAAATAGACTTGGGAAGAAGAGGAGCTGCAGAGGTTATTAAGCCTATTGACTTCATCCCCTGTAATCAGATCTGAAATTGAAGATTCTTGCTCATGGTTAGCTAACACCTCAGGTCAGTTTTCAGTAAACTCTGTGTGGCAGTGGTGGTTGGCAGCAAATGGACCTGGAGTGAATATTCCTGTAGGTTTATGGGTTAAGTCTGCTCTCCCAAAAATGCAATTTTTCTGCTGGCTGGCTTGGAGGGAGAGGGTGAAGACTTCATCTTTTCTTAAAAGGATTGGGGTGTTAGCTGCAACTGTTAGTTCCTATCGTGTTTTCAGCAATGTTGTGGAGGAAACCTTGGATCATGTGCTGCTCTTTTGTCCACTGACCTGGGAGTGCTGGTCTTTAATGGTAAGGTGGTGGGATCTGGTATGGGATATACTTGGTTCAGTCCGGGGGCTGCTTCATTGGTGGTCTGGAGGTAAGTTCAAGCCAAAGGAATCCAGAATTTGGCAGGTAATTCCTTCTGTGGTGTTCTGGTATGTGTGGAAATTAAGAAATGATTGTAAATTCAAGGGAGCTCTACCTGCTATTGAAGATTTAACTGAAAGAATTAAGTTGCATATTGCTCTGTGGGCCAAATGGCTATTGAAGGTTGATTACTCTGTTTATGATTTTGTTTCTAACCTGCACCAGGCTAGGCTATCTGTGCGAGGGGCTTTGAGGTGTTATTGTGGATGCTCTGGCCGATCTGTATTGCCTCTGTACTGTCAGTTTAGTGTTGTTTTCTGTTGTTGTTTTTGCGTTGTTGGCCTCTCACCAACTGGAGCTTGGTGCTTTGTTAGCTCCAAGCTCCTCTTCATTGATGTAATATTATTTTCATCAATATAGATATCTTTTGCCGATCAAAAAAAAAAAAAAGTTCACGGGCTCGTCGCATGCGCAGTCCAATGGTCGCGGGAGCGAGTTGCCTTAGCGGGTTACGGGAAAACTTCTGGGGGTTGGCCATTTCAGTGTACCTTGGTCGCGGTGCGGTTCTCATAACCACGGGTGAGGTCGCAGGCGCCAACTGCTTGCTTAGCCAAGCTGCCTAGCAGCTTTTTCAGACTTTTTGTTCCACGCTTTCCTCTATCCATTGTCACCTTATCCCACAGACAAACAGCTATCTTTTAGGCTGGAAAGAATCACCATACTCACATGCTTGTCCTTGGAACGGGATTGCCAACTTGCACCGTTATGCAAAAAATTAGAATTAAAAATCCTAACAGAAGGCATCAAGACACAAGAAATAAAACATCTTGACACGCTGTGAAAGTAAAAGATTGTTGTAGCTATGGTTATGTTTTGTGCTTTGAGTTTATATATAAAAGAACCTTGCAATGTTTGGTATTGAAAATCAAGCATTAAATCGATTTGCATATTCAACCTTCATCAGATTCCTGATTATGCTTTCATTTTGATGATAAAAAAAAAAATTGTTCATTACAGGAAATCGACTTGCATAACAGTAACCAGTACCTCCGAGCAAAGGTATCTCTCTCATTACTTTTTATAAATATTTGTTTTGTTTTGTTTTTTTGTTTTTAAATGGATTATGAGATTATTGTGAAATAGATAGCTGAGAATGAGAGAGCTCAGCAGCAGATGAACCTGATGCCTGGAGGGGGGTCTGAATATGAGTTGATGCCACCACCTCAGTCATTCGATACTCGAAACTACTTTCAAGTGAATGGTCTCCAACCCAATGATCATTACTCTCGCCATGACCAAACTGCCCTTCAGCTTGTATAAGGTATCTCATCTATCTTTCACTTGCATCATATTAACTTTCATCATTAATTAGAAATCACCTTATACATAGATCCACCATTGGCATTCACATCACATTCATTAAGTCTCATGTAAGTTCAACTTCAATTTGGTTCTCTAATTCCAATTGTATTAGTTTTGTACACTCATTTTTACATTATATTAATTTAATCTAATTGGTAACATCTGGAAAGAATTTGGATAGAAATTAAGGACAAAATGATCCATTTCAAATTGGCCGTCATCCCTTTAATCACTTTCATGAGAGAATAAACTATTTTACCCCATAATTTTTAGTCCAATTCCTAAAAAGCGTTATCAATTGGACTAATGTGAAAAATTGAGGCATTTGGAATTACAATTACAAAATTAACACAATAAGTAAACTATAAAGTCTATGAGCTTAATTTTCCTATTTTTTTTTTCTTTTTTAAATCAATAATACTACATATTTAGAAAAATTTCTCAAGAAATTACAGAAAAACATGTCTATGTCCTATGGACCATAATCATGCTGGATATGACCCACAAGTGACCAACTTTAAATTTACACCACACCTCACTTTCAGGTAATTTTTGGGACAAAAATAGCTTAGATAGTATTTCCTTTTAAAGTTGTTGAAGGTTTGGAACAAAACCAATGGTAGGAGACTTGATGGGATGGATCTCAAGGATTTCTATAAAAACACATTTGTTCTAATAGATATTATTTCTATTTTTATGTGCAGTTAATTTATATGCTCAAAGGGACTGTGATTTCTCCTGTTCCATTCCCTAGCTGTAGATCTACTACTTCTACCAGATGAAGAAGCTCTCAAGTTTATATCTATGGAAAATGCTATAATCTATGGAGGTTTTGACTTGGTGATGCCTTTGTACTACTCCCTCGTGATATTGTTGTAGACTTCAGTGGTCAAAAGGACTCCTAATCCTATGTCTGTTTTGCTTTGTCTTTCATGCTTTGCACTGTTATATTATATAAATGTATTTACTATCCTTTGGGATTTCCTTTTCTTTTTTTCTCCTCTCTTCATATCAGATTCTCTTTTCTCTTTTCGTTTCTTTTTTTTTTTTTTGATAAAAGAAAATCAATTTTATGACACGATTTTATTAAGTTTTGTAGAGTTAACAACTTAATCTTTCTGTTTAACTATTTAATTACTTTGTTAGTCTTCTCCAATAAGATATATTTAGAATCTACAAATTAAGGTCATAATATGGCATAAGAAATTAGTCAAACAAAAAATGGGGTAAATGATTTCAGGAATTAAACATTTTCACATACTCCATATTTTCATTTCCTCATTGCTGCCTATGGTAATAGTAGTAACGAAACAAGTAACAGTACACATTCTTAACAATTTCCTTTTAATTTTTTTCTTACCAAATCCGTAAACCAAATAGAGCAACAATTTCGAATGATTATAAGGACTGCACCAGATTTTTATCATGGCAATAAAAGATTGGAAAATTGAAAAGACAATTTTATATAGAAACGACGTGGAAATATTATTGAACACGAGCCAGTCTGTTTTATTACAACTCAAGCATATTTTATTTGTGATCATGGCTTCTTACTCCGCCCCAAGAGCATGATTATTATATATAAACCTCTTCAGCTAGGTGGCAGATATCAATGCAATCAAAGCATTGTTTGCGCTTGCGGCTACTAAAACATTCGCAGCTACTGTTGGATTGGATGAAAACCATCCCAGAATACATACATACTAATAAAGTGGTCAAAACCTAGAAGTCCAGCTGCAAAGTGAAGTCTAATTCAATAAGCATGATATAATTTTGGTTAGTGACACTTTTTTTTTTTTTTGATCGGCAAAAAGAAGACTTTATTAATGAAAAACATACAAGGTATGAAAAATTATATCAATGAAGAGGAGCTTAGAGCTATATTAAGCTCCAACCTCCTAGTTGGTGAGAGACCAACAAACAAAGCAAACAGAGCTAGGCAAAGAAAAACCAGAAAAACCAGAAAGATTTAACAGCAAAAGCAGAGCTAAGGCACACTGCCTTGAACTACAGCAGCCCTTCAGTCATTCCAAGCACCAAGTCACTGCAACATTAGCAAGACAACCAAAACCAGTGCAAAAACATCAGCAAGAACCAACTGCCCTTCAAACAGTCTATACTGCCTTAGACTACACTGCCTTGAACTACTACAGCCCTACAGTCATTCCAAGCACCAAGTGCAAAAAACCAGAAAAACTAGAAAGATTTAACAGCAAAAGCAGAGCTCAGGCACACTGCCTTGAACTACAACAGCCCTTCGGTCATTCCAAGCACCAAGTGCAACATCAGCAAGACAGCACACATCAGCAAAACAGAGTTAAGGCAAAGAGACAGCCACTGCAATATTAGCGAGACAACCAAAACCAGTGCAAAAACATCAACACCAGCTCTTAAGTCCAGCAGACACACCAGCAAGACAGATGCCAACACAGCAGGCAGAGCATAGAAAACTAATTAATAAGACCAAACAAAGCACCAGACTGAAACCATAACTTTCAACCTCCATTCCTGATACAATGCTTCACCTGTGGCAAATTAGAGACCAAATCATGAATAGAAAGTCCACTTGAATGTGTGATGCTTTAAGCCACATAGCAACTCTAACCTTCACTAATTCACACAGAGCTTCCAAGTTTGGTTGAGAACCGTTAAAAACACAGTCATTTCTATGCTTCCATGTGGATCAGAGAGTGGCCAAAGGTATAACCATCCAGATTTTCTTCTCCAGCTTCTGCATTCTACATCCAGACCACCATTGCAATAAACCTTGCACTGGACCTGGCAGCACCCACTGCAATCCCCACCAGTGTATAATGTCAGACCAAAGCAGCCACACAAAGGGGCAGAAAAGCAGAATATGTTCCGCTGTTTCAACCTCATTATGGCAAAACACACAGCCAAGGTTTGTACTTCTTGCAAGGATTCCAATTCTATGGAGGAAAAAAAAGGTTTTAACCTTAACAAGCCAACCCAACCCAACCACCCAAAGAATTGCATTTTTTGGGGCGCAAAGTTGTTCCAAATTGAAGCAGTCACTGGAATTGCAGGTCCCATGGATGATTCAGTCCATTTATAAACTAATGAAACAGAAAAGAGTTTAGAGGGGTCTGCACACCAATGAAGCTCATCAGGTCTGGTACTACACAGTGTTGGTGCAGTACTAAGAAGATTGAATAATCTATAGGCTTCTGCCTCCTCCCAAGCCAGCAGAGATCTTCTAAATCCCAAATTCCATCCACCATCCTCTGTCCTTCTTTCAAAAAACACACTAACCACACCATTTTTATCATTAGATAATTAGAAAAGCCTTAGGAATTCATCCATTAAGCAGACATTACCCACCCATTTGTCCTTCCAGAAAAGGATTCTTCTCCCATCCCCCAGAACCAGCTAAGAATTATTAATATAAAATTGATGCAGCTCTGTATTGGATAAAACAACATGTACTATATCAGTCCATAGCTTTGATTCTCTACCAATTAGTTTTGGGAACCATCTTCCATCCACTAGCACATATTTCGCACAAATCACTTCCTTCCAAAGCGACTGATTCTCAATGCCAAATCTCCACCACCATTTTAATAATAGATAGTGATTCAAGGTTTTAATCCTCTTCACACCTAACCCACTATATTCTTATCTTTAGTAATCACCTCCCACCGGACCATTTGAACTTTTCTTCTCAAATCAGAGCCACCCCAAAGGAAAGTGGATTGCAATCTCTCCATCTCCTTAGCCACTCCAGCCGGAATTCTAAACATGGATAAATAATATATAGGTAGAGAGGACAGCCTTCTCTTCAATGTGGACAATTTCTGTTTAAACTTGTCAAGGACGGGTTTCCAAGTACTCCTCCTACTGGGGTTTGCCCCCAAAGGAAGCCCCAAGTATTTGAGAGGCAGCTTTTAATGAAGACAGTTTAATAAAGAAGCAAACTCTTGCACCAAAGCCTCTTCCACCCCAACACCACATAGGACACTCTTATGGTAATTGATTTTCAGACCTGAAGCAATCTCGAAACATCTTAGAATTCTTTTAATGTTGGTCACCTCCACCCTATCCGCATTACAAAACAAAATCATGTCATCCGCGAATTGCAAATAAGTGACTCTTAGGCCATTAGAACCCACCGCTACACCTTGGATTAGGCCCAACTCCTTGGCTCTGCTCAGCAAAATATTAAGACCCTCTGCCACAATGTTGAATAAGAATGGTGACAACGGATCTCTTTGTCGAAGACCTCTTTGAGGACAAAACTCAAGTGTTGATGATCCATTTACCAGGACAGAGATCTTAGCAGAGGAAACACAAGTTTTCATCCAGTTAACCCACCTAATTCCAAAGCCAAACTTCGACAGCAAATCAAACAAAAACTCCCAAGTGATAAAGTCATAGGCCTTTTCAAAGTCCAACTTAAGCACTAAACCTTTTTGGTTAGAACGTTTCCATCCATCTACTATTTCATTAGCTATTAAAATTCCATCTAAAATGTTTATTCCCCCCAAAAAAGCTAATTGTGCCTCACCAATAATCTTGGGCATCACCTTTTTCATTCTGTTTGCTAGCATCTTAGCTAAAATTTTGTACAAGGAGCCAATCAAACTAATGTTCCTATATTCATTCAAGCAGGAAGGACTTAAAACTTTTGGAATAAGGGCTATGAAAGAACTATTAATTCCACCAACCAAACTAGCATTCTGATGGAACTCCCTCAAAAATTGTAACACATCAACCCACACAGTTTGCCAACATTTCTTAAAAAAGGACATGTTAAAGCCATCGGGCCTAGGGGCCTTATTACCATCACAAATCTTTAAAACAGTCTGGATCTTCTCCTCTGTAAATTCTGCCTCCAATTGTGCCACAACTTGATCTCTACCTATGCTCTTGAAAGGGCCAGACAATTTGGGTTTGACTTTCCAAACTTCCGAAAATAGCCTTATAAAATGGGCCTGAATTGCATCCCTAATTTCCAAAAGCTCCTTAAGAACTAGACCATTCATTGCTATTGAACACAGAGAATTCCTGCTATTTCTACTACATGCCATAATATGAAAGAACTTGGTTTTTTTGTCCCCGTTAGTTGTCCAATTCACTCGAGATTTTTGTAGCCAAATCCATTCCAACATTTTACTTAACCTCCAAACGTTGCCCCTCACTTCCTTTCTTCTAATCAATTCTGTATCAGATTGTGGTCTCTGCTCAGCTAACAAGTCCAGATTATGAGCCTTATCTTCCACACTTTTAGCTTCAATTCAATCCTACCAAACACCTTCACATTCCATTGCTTGAGGGCTTGTTTCAACGCCTTAAACTTCATAAGACACTTGTACCTTGCCCAACCTTCCACACCAAGTTCTGACCAGCTTTGCTGAACAAAGGAAAGGAATTTTGGATGTAAAAACCAGGCGTTAAGAAACCTAAAAGGTTTAGGGCCCCAGTCCCTATCATCCTCCATTAAAATAATAGGGCAGTGATTAGACAACAATCTAGGAAGTCCCCATAATTTGAAAGAAAAATTCTGTACCCACTCATGATTCAGCAAAAATCTATCAATTCTGCTCCATTTCTCCCTTACTTGAGAATTACACCACGTTAACTTCCTTCCTAACATAGGCATATCTATCAACTCTAGTTGATCAATCATAGTATTCAAGTCCCTCATTCCTCTATCCCTTCTTGAACACCATATTCTTTTTGAAATGCTCCCAATTTCATTAAAATCACCCCCCAGACACTATGGCCCCAGAAAACTGGATTTTAACCTTACTAAAGAGTCCCGCATCTCTTTCCTTTTAACCATCTCATTAGGACCATAAACATTAATGATAACACAATCAAAACTGGAGAATAATGTGCCTGATAATAAGATGAAATTTTTGGAACTACAATAAGCCTTCAATTGAAACACCTCTAGGTTCCAAATACATAATAGTCCTCCAGCTTGGCCAATCGCATCTGCTCCCATGAAATCAAAAAGATCCCCAGGCCACA